AGTTAAACTAACTGTTAAGCAGGTATGCCACCACTTTTAGCGTGGTGTAAAATATCCTCTGCACTAATGTAGGGCTTATATTAATTCTCCACAGGCTTTTATTTCATAATAACTAACAGGGACAATCATTAAAAAAGACAATGAACCTCAATAAAAAAATTACAACAAAAAAAAAACAATTTGTCCCCACCACTTACATTTTTAACTTGTTATGATGCCGGCGATGTGTGAGAGGTGAAAAACAAAATTGGTTAACAAAATTCATTAAAAACCCCAATTATTAAAAGGAAATTCCGGTGAACCGAACCAGAGGATGACTAAACTTTGGCTTAAATGAAAAGTATTTTTTCATATCAGAAAAAAACTATTTGGAAAAAGCCACATTTTCCACCAGTGCACATGTCTAGTTATAATAACGATTGACAGGTACTAATATTTCCACATTTATTTTCTTTCTTACACTTCTCAAATACATATTTTATTAATTAGGGTTATATAAACATAATATGAGTAACATTTCCCCAAAGTAGCTACAACTTGTGTCCAATATAATCACAGTAGAAATACTTATATTCTAGTTCAGTGATTTTTTTTTTCTGAATGCTATTTATTTAACAATCCTTATCCAGAGCCATTCAAATAGATCAAACAAAAAACACAATGAGTAAAAATAACATTTTGATTGAGTCATTGAATTGTAATATAGTCAGGTATAAATAGTTAGGATACTTAACGTTAGACTAAACAACAATTACAGTACATTTTTGAACATGCTTTGACAACAAGGTTACATAAAACACATTACAGTAAAAGATCCACTAAGCTATTTTGTATGTTTTCCGCAACAAAACTGATTGGGTTATGGTTAGGGGATGTAAGGATCATGTTGAGTTTAGAATGTTTAGATTGGGCAAGGAAGAAAGGTGAACAGTTTCAATTGAATGGGCAGGTCAAAGGCCATATTTGGTGGTTAGGAGAATATCATGGGAGCGGATTTATATTAATAGTTGTTTGTGGACAAAATGTTCCAATAGTTTGGAAAAATAGAGGAGGAGGGAGAAACTAATAGGTAGGGCAGGATTGGGGGAGGTTTTTTGAGAAGAGGAGTAACAACTGCCATTTTCAAGTAACCAGGAAAACAGCTTTTCTGGTTACATTCTAAACGTTGATAAAAATCAAATAAAAATACAGTGGAACCTCGGAACTCTAACGTTTCCGTTCGGAAGTCGTACTAAAATTTTGAATAAAAAAATGTCTCGGTACGCGTCCGATCCTCGTACCCGAACACATCACGTGGCATTCACAGAGGGACACAAGTGTGGGGAAGCATGGGATACAAGTGTGAGATGAGGAAATATGGGCAGATGGACTATGTAAAGGGATAGAGGGGAATATATGGAGAGAAAAACCAGATGGCAGAGGGACACAAGTAAAGGGTTCAGGGATATGGACAGAATTATTATGCAAGGAGAAAGAGGAACATCTGAGGAGAAGGATACCAGAGGACAAAGGGACATGAGTAAAGGAAGAGGGACTATGGACATAAAGATACAAGCAGAGGAAAGAGGGGTATTAGATGTTTTGTACCTGATACAGCCATTTTATATGGTTGTTTTTTTTTGCCAGAAGAACAGTTACCTATCCCTATCCATGTAATTTTGGGGTCTGGAACGGTTTAAACAAATTTACATTAATTCCTATGGGAAATGTTGATTCGGTTCTCGAACAAATCAGAACTGGAACAGCCTTTTGGAACAGATTAAGTTCGAGTTCTGAGGTTCCACTGTATAACCGAAAAAATATTTTGTAATCTACAATTTGGTCACATTCCTTACAACAATGTCTAGCTCTTCATGCTCTTTAAATACATTCCAAATGCTTCTTTGTGACATGCACCCTTTCACAAGGTACATTATTGAATAATAGTTTACTATTTCTTCACTCACAATGCTATTTTATGCAGCTCTAGTAAAAGATTTTCGTTTGTAATCTATCTGCGTACACAATCTAAAAGCTTTTGTATGAGACGTTGAAAGTAGTTAAATATTTCTGCCAGAACACTTGATATTACCTGCATAACTGTTGAATAAAATAGTATTATTTGCGCTATTTTTTATCAGATCTTTGTAATGTTCTATAACTTTCACAATATGTCACTAAACTGCAGAGTTTGTAAAAGCTAAGTCCTTAGAAAAGAAATATACTATTGACTTTTAAAATAAGGTATTTTATGGAAATAATACATCTTTTTTTTTGTGACCATTGAACAAACCTTTACAACAAAAAGCAACAATCGCACAAGCTTGATATTCAATTCTGGAATGAAATAATGCCAACAAAAAAATATTGCAATATAAATTGTTTTTGTTTTGCATTATAATGTGTGCTCGTGAAATGAGGAATAAACCAAACACTGATCTGCATCAATGTTATTTCAAATCAGCCCAAGATAGACATGTTCATTCAAGAATATCTAATGAATACAGAAAATAAGCATGACCAACCAAATGAATACTCCCTAATGTGTCAAAGGCTTCCAAACACTAGTTTATGCCTACAAATGCAAACATATGTATAATACGAAAAACAATTCAGGGAAAATGGCCTCAGAGGGCCTTGCATGGTAACAACTAACTCAATGCACAGTTGTCGGTACATCATCTTTCTCCTCTATAATTTGTAGGTCAATAAGACTTTTCAAAATTTTATTTTTAAACAAGTAATATTTATGTACGCATGCATAACTTGCCAAAATGAATGAACATTCAGCAACCTATGCATTTTTATTGTTTATAATTGAATAATTTTTATTGTTTTATAAATCTACCTCCAAACCCATTACTTAAACAACTGTGAAGAAAATCAAAGTTCTAAAAAAAAAAAAAATCTAATAGTGTAAAATTTTGGATAAAAAGAAGGGGGCACATATACGTTTTGTGATTCTTTCACAGAACTCAGTATGTTCATGGATTTTTCTTGTTACCAATGGATAAAATATAGCATATGTTTTAATTTATCCATTCAAAAAAAATGATCTATTAATTTGCACTAATGAGGAATATTTCAGCTAGCTAGTATGGTTATAATACCTGCAGCATTCAAATTTATGTAGAAATAGAAAAGAGAAGGGAAATACAGAGAGAAGGGTCTAAGAAGCAGAGGATTAATATAAACCCAATATGCACAGACACCACCAAACAGATGATTTACAAAGAAACAGAAGTATAAATGGTAAGGTAAAACAAATTAAGGGAAAAGTCTAGGTTAAAATAAACATATTTTAATGCCCTGCAACAACACAGTAGAGATAAATATGCAAATATTAGTTTTTCACACTTTTTCTGCAAGATCTGCAGCTAAGCTCATGCACCTTCTTTTTGCAAGGTGCTAATTTCCATGTTGATGCTGAGCAGTACCCAATCAAATGCTTCACTATAAAAAAAAAAGATGAAAACATATGTTTGTTTAAAAAAATATATGACATTCTAAAATAATTAATATAAGATTCAAATTACTTGAATACATTAAAACACCCACATTATGCTGGAATATGTCCCAAAAATTGTGTCTCTGATGATTGGGATAATCATTGTTTCTTTCTTTGTAGCTTTGATATCTTCTTTCATTATATAACTTTATCCAATTTCTAATTCATTGCTTCCATTTATTTTTGGCTTGTGTTTGCAACCAATAGGCTACCATATATAATTTACCATCAAAATATTACACTAGGTTATACTGTTCCTTGTAAGTTTGCTGTATATCTACTTTTTTTAGTATATTGTTTATGTAACCTCACAGAGAAGGCTTGTTTGTGTTAAGAGATAGTTAAGAGTGAGATCATGTAATATATATCAAGGTTGTATTTAGTAGGCATTGAGAGTTTCAGAGGTACAAAGTAGCTTGTAAACAGCTCCTAAGTCAGTGCCATACTCTGGTTTAAAGGAACACTATAGGCACCCAGGCCACTTCAGCTTATTGAAGTGGTCTGGGTGCACTGTACCTTTTGCACTTAGTGCTGCAATGTAAAACATTGCAGTTCCAGAATAACTGCAATGTTTACATTGCAGCTCTAAGTCTGCCCTCGGTGGCTGTCTACCAAACAGCCACTAAAGGGCTTCCTGGATTGAAACAGACCTTTGGTCCGGTATTGCTGGACGTCCTCACGCTCTGCATGAGAATATACAGCATCAGATTATTTTTCCCATAGGAAAGCATTGATTCAATGCTTCCTATGGGAAGGTTAAATGTGCATGCGGCATTTGCCGCGCATGCACATTAAAGCCCACTTGTCCTGGTAAGTCGGAGGGTGCGGAGCTCTGACCCATAGCAGAAGGACATCAGTGCTGGGATAAGGTAAGTAAATAAAGGGTTTTTAATCCTTTATTTACCAGGTACTCAGGGGAGGGGGGCAGGCAGGGGGAGCGATAGTGCCAGGAATACAGCTTTGTATTCCTGGCACTATGGTATCCCTTCACTTCAAATAAAAAGGTAGGAAATGAGCTACCCAGTGATAAGTAAATAGGAAAGTACACATAATTAAAGCCAGTAAAAGCTGAAATGTTTGTTTTTAATGGGTTTCAAGATTAGCTGTTTTTCACTTATCACTAGGTAGGCAATTTCCTAACTTTTTTGGATATGGTACCGGGGTAAATCACTACTAGGAAACAATCACCCTTTTAAATCTGATTGATTATTTCGGAAAATTAATAGTAGCATTTTGTTCTCCTCTGGGAGCGGATCTCCGGTGTTCTACTACTTGGGTGCAGTGCCAACTCTGTGCTTATAATCTGGTTCCATGTCATACTGCTTTCATGCAGTTTGGCAGAAAATCTAGTGTCCTACAAATGTCCATGGTTTGGCTCCATGCTTGATATATTGCTTTTGTGGAATATTAGACATTAGTGATGTCCCGAACGGTTCGCCGAACGGTTCGCCGAACGGTTCGCCACGGACGGCGAACATATGCGGTAAACTTTGACCCTGTACCTCACAGTCAGCAGACACATTCCAGCCAATCAGCAGCAGACCCTCCCTCCCAGACCCTCCCACCTCCTGGACAGCTTACTAAGAATGCAGCTTCACAATGAATGTAAAATGGATGCTGTCCGGGAGGTGGGAGGGTCTGGGAGGGAGGGTCTGCTGCTGATTGGCTGGAATGTGTCTGCTGACTGTGAGGTACAGGGTCAAAGTTTACCGCATATGTTCGCCGTCCATGGCGAACCGTTCGGCGAACCGTTCGGGACATCACTATTAGACATATTTGGGTGGCATTCATTGGTTGAATAAATCAACTATTACATTTTAACAAACAATGTCATTCAAATGAGAACAAAATTGTTATTGTTAATGTGTTCCACTTACTGTGGATGTGTAATGTCTGCAATAGCAATATGCTGAGTAATTAACCGGTCCAGGGGGGTCCAGGATTTCTTTAGTGTCATATATGGATGTATCTAAATTGCTCTTCCCTTTCTTCATCTAGTTCCCCACTTTATATATGTGTATGCCTTTAACTCCTTAATGACCAAACTTCTGGAATAAAAGGGAATCATGACATGTCACACATGTCATGTGTCCTTAAGGGGTTAAAGGACCACTGTAGGCACCCAGACCACTTCAGCTCAATGAAGTGGTGTGGGTGCCAGGCCCCCAGGTTTTAACCCTGCAGTGTAAACATTTCAGAGAAACTGCTATGTTTAACTGCAGGGTTAATCTAGCCTCTAGCGGCTGTCTCCCTGACAGCTGCTAGAGGCGCTTCCGCGATTTACACTTAGTAAATTGCACTTATTTGATGATGGATGTACTATGGGCGGGCTTGAATGCGTGCGCGCCTCTGGCCGTGCATTCATATACGGCTCCACTCGGGAGCTGACGTTGATGGAGGAGGAGAGGTCACCAGCACCGGACGCTGGATTAAGGTAAGCAAATAATGGTTAATTAACCGTTTATTTGCCGTGGAACGGCAAATAAATGGTGACTAGGGCTCTATAGCGTTAGGAATACATATTTCTCAATGCTTTCCTATGGACGCTGGTGTCAATGAGACAGCCACTAGTGGCTGGATTAACCCATTTGTAAACATAGTATGAAACTGCTATGTTTACGGCAGGCAGGGTTAACCCTAGATTGACTTGGCACCTAGATAACTTAATTGAGCTGAAGTGGTCTGGGTGCCTATAGTGGTCCTTTAATAGAAATCCAAATGTGTTTGTAGATTGGATAGGGAAGGGTTTGATTATGGCATTTCTCCAACAAATCGACAAAAAAAAATAAAAAAAAATAATGGTTCGCATTCGTCCATATCCTGTTTCAGACAAATGTCATTAATGCGATCGTTTCAGGAAAAACGATTTGGACAAGCCAAAAGGGTGTGAAAAGGCACCTAATAGTGTACTTCAATTCTATTGTATAGGCAATATCAGGCAATTTTGCAATGACAATTGTGAGTTGTAATAATTATATTATTATATCTTTATTAAAAAAAAAAAAAAAGTAAAAGCTTTGTTTTGAAATCATTGTTTTTCCTTTCACAATTTTGTATTAATAAAAAAGGGGAGCAGTAGAAGTAACTTAATTTAAAATTGTATTTATTTATTTATTTATTTTTTTTTTTAAAGCTAGATTTTGGAATACTTTTAGATGTTTAGGAAATCTGATTTGTATTTGAAGTCAATTTGCAGAGGTAGTTGGCATAGTCACACTAAAAGACTCGGTTAGGGAAGGTGAAACAACTACAATGGAAGGCATTTGAAAACATTACAACCACCACCAACTTTTAGAATACTTTTAGAATCTCAGGAAAAAAGATTTGAATTTAAAGGCAATTTCTATCTACTGCAGTAGCAGTCATTAGCCACGTAGGGCAAAACAAAACTACAATGAAAAGCATTGTAAAAAAAGGAGGAGAAGCAGTAGTGGCAGACTTAATTGTATTATAAATTGCATTTTAATTTTTTTATATTACTGGCAGATTTTAGAATGTTTTTATAAATGTAGAAAAATATTTAAATTTGAAATCACTGTGGACCTGTGGAAGTAGTAGGCGTAGTCACACTACAAGACTCAGCCAGTCAGAGTTAAACCACAATAATTTAAGGCATTTGAAAACATTGCAACCACCACCCTAATTTAGGCATGTAGGAGAATGCTGGCCAGGAAGGCATGGGAGCGTAAGTCTGTGGTGAAGTCTATGACTTACATACAGTCTTTGCCATCTCTTCTTTCAATACTACCATGCAGGAATGGTACAGTGATGAAACGTTGTTACTGTTGAAAGTGGATTATGAGGGATCACAAGCACATATTGCATAGCATGGGCCTGTGTCAGCTGTTTAAAGGGCTTCCTCTCGCCCTAGCGTTCAATTGTACAGTAAACTGCCACAGATTGTCCTGCAAATTGCAAAGAGGAGTAGTGGCACTGAAGCACACTCCCAATAAGACTAGCATCAATGACACACTAAGAGACGGTGGAAGTGGCACTGGCAATCTCCGCCAACTCATCAGTCTCATACTAGGATCAATGACACTCACACTCCCACACAGTCACGGGTATAATAAAACCAATACTGGTGTGTCTTTCTCAATAGCTAATGTCCCCTGCCCATGGTTTTCTCATTGAAGCCTCTTACTCAAATAGAAATAGCTGTAAGGAGATGATTGAGTGAAGACTTTGGGGTTAAACTGTTTGCTAACCAATGAAGTTGTTATCTTGCCCAGAATGTTCCTTTCAGAAAAAAACGCTTCCACAGCATGGTCTGATATAAAGACATTTGGCCGGCTTATTTCTAGTAAGTAAAGCTGCAGAAGTTACAATTTTATGGGAGTTCTTTTTAAATAACAAAAACAGTCTGCGAATGCAATAGTAAAAGTACCTTTTCTTATCACGAAAATCTCCTCCAACGCTGTTCTAACGATATATATTGAGCACCAGTAAGAGGTGCACTTATTAAAAATAACTTGGGCAAAGGAAGAAGAAGAATAAAAATCTGGACTGATTTTTGGACTGAATCATCCCACCCTGGTCTTCCGAATAGTCCACCCAAGGACCCAAAGAAAGCACAATAGATAAAACTAACTAAGGTTATTCACTAAAGTTACACATTTTAGACCAACACAGACAAACTGGAAGTAAAGCAAACTTTTTCCAGTTCAGCTAAGTTCAGTTGCAGCACTGAAAATCCCTGCCTCTCTGTCCTTCAGTTTTCTTAAATAAGAAAACTGGAAGGATCATGCAGAATCGGGGAGGGGTGCCGCTGGTTGGCTGTGAATGTCGGCTGACTGCTCACGGCCAATCAATGACTCCAAAATTATAAAACTGGCTTGAAAAAAAGTATACCCTTAAGGTTAGACACTGCAAGGGACCTCCTGGCACCATAACAACTTAATTTAATAGTGTTCCTTTAAGCCTAATTTGCTAACTTAAAGTGCTGGACACGACCGACTTCTACTGTGCTCCCTCATTTTCGTGATCCTTAGCTATCCGGCTATGTGGCAAATTTTCTGGTCTGCCTCTGAGCTTCCTCCAACGATGGATCCTGGGTCTCTCTCTTACTTGCAAAGGTCCTTCTGGAGAGGAGAAATAGTGACATGTCTAGTGACAACCTCACTAGATGATGAGAAAGGGAGGGATCTAAAGACACTGCATACACTACAGGGAAGCGGGTAGTGGTAGCAGCAGTTATATCAGCAGGTATAGTCCCTCTCTTGGTCCCAAATTCCTCTGTCCCTCTTTTTTATCCTAATGTTTTTCTTTTCTAGGAGCTCCATAATGTTGGTGTGTGTGAGTGTATAACAGAGCTACACAGCAATAATACTCACAGTAATGTATCTTAAAACTACATTATTCTTGTTCTAAATTACATTTTAGTTCTATACAGTGTTATTACCGATCAACCTAAAATCTTACAGAACAGCCCCACCCTTGACCGCACCCCACACAGCCCCCTAAAATTAAAGTGTCCCATTTAATTCATTTGAAATGTTGAGTGGTATGGGATATTACGCAGGCCCTGGCAAGTATGTGCAATAGTTTGAAAAGTGTCCCATTTAATTGAGTGGTATGGGATATTACGCAGGTCCTGGCAAGTATGTGCAATAGTTTGAAAAGTGTCCCATTTAATTCATTTGAAATGTTGAGTGGTATGTGCAATAGTATGTGCAATAGTTTGAAAAGTGTCCCATTTAATTGAGTGGTATGGGATATTACGCAGGCCCTGGCAAGTATGTGCAATAGTTTGAAAAGTGTCCTATTTAATTCATTTGAAATGTTGAGTGGTATGGGATATTACGCAGGCCCTGGCAAGTATGTGCAATAGTTTGTTTTTTGTAGTGACATTGTTTGCAATAAAGATTTTTTTTGATGGTGGAAAATGTCTAATGAAATTATTTTCTTATTTATTATAGTTACACTGAATAATGGGTCAGTAAACTAATATTACAATTGAATAATGGACCTCCAAGCTAATGCCATGTACATAATTTCGATCCCTGTCTAGAAAGGTTAAGAAGCCCTGTTCTATGGCCTATATACTTTATTTAACATAAATGATATATGCCTGCAATTTTTTTGAAAATAAATTTAGATTCCATTTTTTCTGTGTGAGTGCATTTGATAATTTAAGCAAAGATTGAGAGTAAAGCCATGTAAATGGACAGGCACCGCGCCATAGGTCAGACAATACATATATAAAAAAAGTAAATTAAATTTCATTTGTGTAATTGACTTATAACAAGTGACAGGAGGTAACCCGATGTCAAAATTACATTTTTCTTAACAGGCTGTAGAGGTTACCATTGATGAATCTTGAAAAGCTTTTACAGTAAAATTTAAATGACACTTTAATAAAATAAATGCTTTTCTTTTCTTCAGAATCAGAATGTGATGGTCAATTTTTATTATCTGGGGATTCTGGGACATTTCATTCAAAAAACTATCCGCAGCCATATGATCCAGATCTTTCCTGCCGCTGGATAATACGGTTTGTCAATGATATTTTAAACATATATTGCAATAATTTAAAATGTGACATTTACAAACTTGACCATTTAGATTGAATTAATTATCATTCATTTTGGTACTGGGAAATTTTCTATGTGGATATATTTGTTTATTTAAAATAGTTTTTAATTAAAATTCAAAACCATAGAAAAAATATTATTGGATATA